GGACGCTCTTGTCGTCGCGCAGGAGCAGGGGGGGCGCCCGCCAGCCTTACCTCAGACTCCGCATTGCTCGGCGAGCAGAGGCGAGGTGGGAACTCTCCGTCGCGGGACGCTGCCGCCGCCGCCACACCGCCGCCAAACTCGGGAGGGAAAGCCGGCGGGAGAAAGCGGGAGAAGGAAAAGGGGTGGAGGCAAGTCTGACATGTTTGTGCAGTGCCGGCTTCACCCGAGCTGCCGAGTTTGATTTCGGGGTGGGGCGGCAGATGGGACACAGCAAGGCTTCGCGCACGGAAGCCTCAGCGTCCTCTGGGGAGGGACGCGCAGCACAGCCTCTCGGGGCTTTCTCCTCACCGCCTCTCCTTTAGGTCCCTGGAGGTGAAGGGAGAGAGGAAGAAATTGGAGTTGCACCTGGGCATGGAGGGCTCAAGCAGCCCTCCCCCTTGGGGAGATCGTCTCCCCTTGTCCTCCACCCCCTCCGCCGCTGACCTATTAAAGCTCTGACTTGCTTCGACTCTCCCATCTCCGCAGCCTCGGGGCCTAGAGCTCCTGCAGTCTCAAGCAAATCCCGACATCTCTTTCCATCTGCCACTTCCAGGAGCTGCCACCCATTCCCCATCATTCCTGGCGGGAAAGCTTCGACCACTGGCTCTGTGTCTGGCTCCAGGAGAATTCACTCATCCCTTGGGCCTCGCAGGCACACGGCACCCAACCTGGTGCGTTGACTACTTCTTCTAGAGACCGGCATCACCCTGCAGTCCTGTGCCATGCCCAGGAGGGTTATGGATCCCTGGAAATACCTGTTTCTACAAATGACTTATGTTTGCTAGGACATCAGCTCCACCACCAATCAGCAGAGGCGGGCAGACCTATATGGAAAGGGGTGGCATTAAAGGACACTATGGGAATTAGGGACCAGGAGAGGTCAGGCTGCACATCCACCCCCAGCAACTGCTCTTCCTTCATCTTAAATAAAGATGATACTTGGCCTCTCCCAGTCATTAATAACAGACAATGCTGGCTTAACCCCAGAATATTTTTAGGTCCAAAGTGTAGAGATAAAAGTCAGCTTTGAATTGCCACCATGCAATTTATTTTATTTATTTATTTATTTTTTGCATGTAAGTTTGGCTCATCTGACCTTAAAATAACTTAATGTCATGCTATAAATAATCATTAGGCTGTCGTGATTCCTGCTAGAAGCGGGGTGGGCAGGCAGAGATGGGCCCTGTCACAGTGACCTCTTAGCCATGTTGGCCCATTCCTGGTTTCCTACCTATTCTCCTTGCCTCAGTAGGCTGCGTACCCCAACCGCTGCCGTAAATCTAGTTGAAACTTGCAGAGTCTATAGCAATATTACAGAGCAGGGACAAAACAGAGAAAGTAAAAGAAGACGTTGTGTTTTAGCCAGCGTTCTGGGGCTCGTGTTGCCCCCTTCCAGCCCTGCCAGCAGCGTTGCGCAAGGCTGCTTCCTGAAAGCGCAGTCACCGCTTCGACATTTTACTGCAGGTCCTTGCCTGCCAGAGCCTGCCAAAGAGACAGAGATTTCCTGCCGGTTGCCTCCCCGCCGCATCCTGAGGGCATAGGAAGTAGAGGCAGCCAGGTCCCCTTCTTTCTGGAGATTAGCTTGTCTCCTCCCACAGGGCAGGACCCATAAGTAGGACCCATAAGTAGATGTAATCAAGAAGAAGGAAAGTTCATAATTATGGCAGTAAACAACAGACTAATAAAGAGAAAGAGATAGCACTGCTTCGCTAAAGACTAAAGACTTACAGAAAATTCATTGTGGATGGCCAGGGATGAGGAAATCAAGCACGATCCTGCCTTTGCTAGATGAATATGAAACACGACTGTGAGAACAAACCATGAGTGGCTGCGGCTACATTTACACTTGGCTGATGTGCCAGCCAGTGAGAAACAGTCTATACGACTATAGCTTTGCGAGTATCACAAAGAAATGCCATTTAGACTCAATGCAGAGTTACCCAGGCTGGGAACTGGCTTTGAATTGATCTAAGTATGATATCACGTGGGTGGACATGTGAAGATAGTCTCCTAAAGCAAGACCTAAGTTCTTTGTGAATGAAAGAGCCTGGTTTTACTTGCTATGACACAAGCTTGGATGGAAGTGAGGCAGCATGGAGTCGGTGTGAACCCCAGCTGCCTGCAGTCTTAAAAAAAAAAGACAACACTTCCCCATCTTCCCATTCCCAAGTTTGCTCAAATCCTTAAGCGTTCGTCCCTTTATTAAACATTTCAGTACTCCTTCCCTGCCCACTGCTCCCTTCCTCCCTAGAGTGTTGCATGAGATAATCTAAATAATCAGCCTCGCACGTTTATATAGCCATACACACCACTCCTCCTACCATTGCTCTACTACTACATGTTGCTCACTCAGACCTTGACTGGAGTTCTGTCTTACCTGTGGGAGCTGGAATCTGCAAAGCAAGAAGTGTTGCAGGGTGTGTTGACTAAATCCTTGCATCACAGACAGTTTTATCGGATTGATGTATACAGGGAAGAGTCATTCCTTGCATGCATCCTTTCCCGGCAGCAAGACGAGCTAATTTCAGACCCAAACTGCTGATCTGTCCACTTTTCTTAACCTGTCCATCCACGTCCCTGTGTCAGGTCAGCATCAACACCTCCCTTCTGGCACTGTTGGCTGCAATAGACTCCCTTTAGGCCTGTTGCATTCCTGTTGGAGCAGAAATCTGTGGAAGAAAAGAACTTTTCAACATTTTACTGCACCAACAGTCAAGACCAGGTAGTTTTTAACCTTCAGAAAAACACACTAGAGAGGGGATCCCCAGGAGAGAGGGGATGTTGCAAATTCACGAAGCATTGCCTGTTAGGAGGAAATAAATCTGCCAGTCCAATAAGCACCGCACAAGATCAACCAGGACCAGAGGGAAAGATCCAGAGGGAGTTTCACTTTAAGTAAGTGCTCATCGTTTAGATGAGCCTTTCCTCCAAGGCTAGACAGGCCGAGGTGGGCAGAAAAATCTCAGGATGGCGCTATCATGACGGATCATGACAGCCTGGGTTGCTTGCTCACACACCAGGGCTGTCTCCTATGCCCTACTGACATTATAAAGGCAGAGCCCTGGACATCCCAGAATGACAGAGCTTCATCTGTGCTCACACTGCATAAGCTCATTCAGTGGGTTCTAAGTATCCCCATGCGCTGATGCTCTAATGCAGTTTCCATTTCTTTGGCCCCATTCAAAAC